GCCAGTGTGGGCAGGGGCAGGGGCCAGTGTGGGCAGGGGCAGGGGCCAGTGTGGGCAGGGGCAGGGGCCAGTGTGGGCAGGGGCAGGGGCCAGTGTGGGCAGGGGCAGGGGCCAGTGCGGGCAGGGGCAGGGGCCAGTGTGGGCAGCAGCTTTGGAGCAGAGTGTGTTCAAGGTGCACTAGACAGCAGGCTTGATCTTTGAAGGCCATTTGAAGGCAACTCTGGATCACAGATTTCTCCAACTCATTCCAAAACTCAACACAGATACTCGAGGAACTGAATTTGAAAGGTAAGGAAAACAGAGCCCAAGCTGTGATTTTATTGTTTCCACGACTTAGGAAGGATCTGGCTTATGAAGGGACCTTAGCTACCTTACCTACCATAGCTCCGATCTTCCACTTCTCAGAAGAGAATATTCATCTTCCCAGTATCCAATGGAGGAAAGCAGGGTGTAAATAGGAACATTGAGCCCTCATGCATTGGTTCATTACAGATTCCAGCTCACGGCAGAAATGAGCCTGGTGGCCTGTGAATGCCTGCCTGGCCCCAGCCTGGAGGCTGAGCCCTGTTCACGAGCAAGATCCCAGACTTCTGTGTACCTGGAACAGATCCGCAAGCAGGTAGCCACGGGGACACCTGACATGACCAAGCGTGACTACCTGGTGGATGCTGCCACACAGATCCGCCTGGCCCTGGAGCGTGATGTTAGTGAGGACTACGAGGCTGCCTTCAACCATTACCAGAATGGTGTGGATGTGCTTCTCCGGGGTGTGCATGGTAGGACTGGGCCAGGCAGGAACATGGAGGTGGGGGTGGGGGGGGGCGGAGAGAAGAGTCAGGGTAGGAATGACTGGGCCTCCACATAGGGCAAAAATAAAAACTAGCATCTGCTATCTATTATTAGGGCCTTGCCTATATTGACTCATTGGAGCATCACTGCAATAGAAATTACTAGATTTATTATTTATTTATTTAAGTGGTAATTGGGTTTCAAGTCAGGGCCTTGAGCTTGCTAGTCAAGTGCTCTACCACTTGAGCTACGCTCCCAGTCAGTTTTGCTTTTAGTTATTTTTCAGATAAGAACTCAAGCTTTTGTCTGGGTTAGCCTCAGACTATGATCAACCTATGCCTCCCGTGTAGTTGGCGATACAAAAACATACTGCCACACCCAGTTTGTTCATTGAAATGGGGTTGAAATGGGCTCTTGTCAGCTTTTTACCCAGGATGGCCTCAAATCGTGATCCTCCAGATCTTCATCTCTTGAGTAGCTGGGATTACAGGCATAAACTACCATATAGGGTCCTGAATTACTAAAAAAAAAAAAAAGTGTGCACTAATTACATGTATATAAAAACAATCTTTCTTCCATTCTTTTTTTTTTTGAGATGGGATTCTCTTGCTCAGACTGTCAGACTGGTCTCAAAATCCTGGGTTCAAGTGATCCTCCCACCTCAGCCTTGTGACCTGAGTCGCTGGAACTGCAAGAGCACACTGTGCTGGCCAGGAACTATTTTTGATATTCATTGTCTATGAGAAAATGGGGCATGGGGCTGTTGAAGAGCCTGCCATGGCTCTGTAGCTAGCAGGGGGCACAGCTGGGTTGGAGTTTTGCCTCTGCTCACTTGGGGTATGCTCGGTGCCCTGGAGCTGGGCTGGATGACCATCCTCTGCGAACCTGCTCTCAGCTCCAGGGAGATGGCTGACTGATGAGCAGGTAATGTGTAATTATAGTCCCAGATGGAAGGACAGTGAAGTAGACATACAAGGAGCAAAGAGAGAAACTGAGGCCAAACTGGGTCAGCCTGGGACATTTTCTAGAAGAGCAAACTAATATGAATGACGAGGAACAGCCATGCATTGTCCAGTGGAGGGCCGGGGAGAGTTCCAGGGAAAGCAGCTCAAGGTTGTCAGGGAAGAATGAGGCATTTCCATGTCCAGGCAGTGGCTGGTGCTACGGCCAATTTAACCCCCTGAAGGCCTCATGGCCAGGCCGTGGGTAGAAGTCACTCACCCTGACTCCCCATTTCTATGCTCCTGCAGAAGAGACCCCACAAACCAGGGGCTTCAGGACTGTCCTATGCATTCCTTTGTCCTGGCTTTTGTCATTCTGGGCATCAGAGATAAAGAAAACTGTACTCTCCAGAAACTTCCATCTCTATCTTATGAAAAAAAAACAAAAGGCTGTGGAAATCCATGCCCTGCGTCTTTCCAGGGGTTGAGGGCAGATGTGGCGCCAGCTTTACACGGTGCAGTAGGCTGAGGGGTAGCTGTGGTTCCGAGCATCCTTCTGCCTTCTTTTCCTCTCCTGCTTGTTTTCTACCCCAGAGCAAGACAGGGGGCAGAATCTGCTGAAGCAACCTTAGAAATAGGAGCAATAGGACTGGGAAGGTGGCTCAGTGGTAGAGTGCTTGCCTTGCATGCATGAAGCCCTGGGTTCGATTCCTCAGCACCACATAAGCAGAAAAAGCCAGAAGTG